TGGTACTGCGGTCTTCTGTTCCCTTTCCCCAACAGCTGAGCATAAGTGATTATAGCTGCAGCACGGGTTAGTGAAATAAGGTAGATGAAATGCAGTTCCAAGGTGATTCTTCCCAGCAAATAGAATATCCCCCAAACATGAGCCCAGACTTCATAAAGGGTGTTACAGGAATTAATTTTATTGACAACACACGGGCTTTTATGAGAAATCCTCCTGCAAGAGCACCTCCCACAGCAAACAAAGACAACAGCCAATCAATGTACAGATTTACAGTAATACACGCCTCCTCTCTGCCTGGGAGATATTGAGATAAGTTAAGGAATAAACCAATTATCTCCAGGCAGAGAGCACACAATTTCCCCAAAACTTAGAACACCCCTTTTCCCACAAGGTATCCCCTGATAGCCCCGATCTGGGGGACAAACATATTCAAATTTCACCCAGATCGGTTCAGGGGTTCTGAAAAAGTGTGGAGGGTCCCTTTTACCGACCACACACGCGGCTCCTGCCCAAAACAGTTCCATGAATTCAGCGTGTGGGGTCGGTCAATTCACAAATCTGTAAAAACCGAACAAAAGTCCTGAATGGATCCCCCTGGCTCATAGCAGCGATTGCTCCCCTTGTCCGTTCGCATAGAACTCCCGAACGGCGCCTCCCTGGCTGTTCGGGAAATACAAGACGCCGGCGTTCGGTAGTTTCAGCGCTGGTTCGCGAGGTCAAGTGTCCGATTTTAGTTCCAGACACTCGACGACCAAGTCCTGCTGACTGCCCTCGTGCGAACAAGATGGCCTCCGTTTTCTATTCCACGTGGCGTTCGGCTGTACGAACAGCGGCCGCCCAGGGAGCACTTAATAGCTGGTTCCTTTGTAGTTAATAAGCCAGGAGGGTGGTCAGCGTTCGGTAGTTTCAAACTAACGAACTAATACATTCACTATACAGGTAGTACACAGGAAAAATACAGAATAAAGAAGAAAATGTCAATTAAAAGTCAATTTTCTTCACAATATGGTAATGATGACATCCACCATTGCAACTGGCCTTTATATTTATTATCTTTTCTTCCTTGTGCTGAATTTCAATACCTGGGTGCCTCCATTTAGTTCTCCTCTGTGCATGATGTCTGCAGTTTGTCTTGTGGGATTCTTTTTACTGATGGATTGTGGGTAAATTATCTTAGCAACTGAAATGGAACTTTGTTCAAGCTCTGCCCATTCCCCAAATATCACACCCCCATGAGAAAAAGTACTCCCCATCACTTATGTGTAAAAAAATAAAATAATAATAATAAAAAAAGGATACAATTTATTAAAGTGGCTCTGTTATCCCCACTCCAAAATGAGCAGTTCATAAAGCAAATATTTATATAAAATATAGTCCCTTTGACTGTGATGGAATGTCAGTGAAATTCCAATGCAGTTAAAAGATATTCGTTAAGACAATTTAGGGGCTACTTTGCCTTATGTGTATTCCCTATGCCTGACAAAACCCGACAAAAGACAAAGATACCTCCATCGAGTTTTGTTTTTTCCCTAATTTCCCCCTATGGAAGATCTTGTGGTCTTGTCGATCCTCCATATCCATTCAACGTTAAACTCTTGTGCATGCGTAAGAGTACAATACTGACATGGGCTCCTGGCAGGTGAAGCACTAGGAGTTAAAAAGGACCACACGGATGAGGATGCCCGTGGCTGTGAGGGATCGGTTCAGTTAAGTGAAGCTCACTTTTACCTGCACCCAGCAGCTATCGCACAGCAAGCGGAGCTGTCACCATCAGGGGTCTCTCTTTGCAAAATATGCAAGCGCTCTGCATATGCAAAACTCCTGGAGAGGAAATATCTTAATTTAAAAATAAATATAAATATTTAATTAAGAAAGAAGAAGGACATTTTGTCAGGAACTGCACTGTTCTGATGTCTGACCATGGCTTCTGGTATCCAGTGCTCTTTTACAATTCTTGTTTTGTTTTCCTTGGTTTTTCTGGTTTTCTATTCTATGTCTGGTTTTCTTTATGCTGGGTTTTCTGGGTTCATTCCTGTATTCTGTTCCTGGAATTCCCAGGTTCCAGGATTCCTTTATATAAGGGGTCCTCAAACACTGGCCCCCCAGATGTTGCTGAACTACAACTTCCATGATTCTCTGGCTATCTATGTAATTCAAAGAATCATGGGAGTTGTAGTTCAGCAAAATCTGGGGGGCCGGAGTTTGAGGACCCCTGCTTTATGTTTGTTTTATGTTGCCACACCTGTTCCTTTTCCATGGTTCCTTTTGTTTCAGTTGGTTCCTGCAGGCAGATGCTTCAAGTCATCTGCTCCTTCCTTGCAGGTAAGTGCTGTATGTGTTTTATTATGGGGTTTTTTAGCAGACATTAGGCAGAGTAGGACTTATGGCAGGCTTATGCAATGTATGATCATATAATGTAACTAAATCCCCATGGTTTTCACATATAGTACTTAGTTATGTCTCCTCTTGTTTTGCCTAATATATCGTGTCTTGTTTTATTTTGTATTCCCAGTCCATGTACAGTCCTGTCCTGTCCTTCCCATGTTCTGTTATGTTTCCCTTTTGTATTGTTTATATGTTCTGGGTTTAGCTTTCTGTCCTTCTCTGGTTCTGGGTTCTACTAGTTTTGTCTTGTTTTCTTGTTTGGCATCTATCCTAGTCTTTTCTTGTTTCTCGTACTGGATACATTTCAGCATTCATCTACTCTGGCTTCCACTAAGCTGCAACAGGGTCTTGGTATGTGGCCGCACAAACTCTGGTGCTCAACACCAGGGGGCGTGTGGTTACCCTGCACCAGGCCCTAACTGTCCACTACCACGCTGAAGACGCTGCTTATTTCCACATCAGGCACAGGGGTCCCGGTCTTCGGACTGCCACCCTGACACATTTGAAGAGATCTGTTATCAACCCATACAGACAGAACCCAGTCCCATCCTATAGCTGCTCCAGGGGGCACTATACCAGGCATGTTATTATGTATCACTGTGTGAAGGCACAGCACGACCAGACTTCATGATCACCTCTCAAAGCTGGTAAATTGGAATTGTTTTGTCTTATCTTTTATTTTATTTATTGTAAAATATACATATTTATATAAACCATTTTAATTTTTTTATTTTACACAATGCCGGACTGCCTGGTACAGCCATAGCCTACTTTGCAAATTAATTTAACCTGCACAATGCTGTACCCAAGAAAAGCTGCAGGAATTAATGTTTAACTTTCTTTACTCACCCACATAAGAGCTTTAATAGAATTTATTGGGTTGAGGAATGGTCATTTGCAGCAAAGTGACAACTCCAGGGACACTCCCCTTCTAACACAGTCCAGTCTTTTTGTGGCTGTCCAATCACAGACTTCCCAATACAGCTCAAAGATAGTTCCTGCCTCTTGATTGAGCCTTCACAATCCTGAGCTAAACAACCAGGACATAACAGGAGCAATTGTCTGACAGCCAGGAGAGCTGACAACAAGGGTAATTTTAAAAAGGGTCAATTTCTATTGAAATCATCACTTTTTGTAAAATGAAAGAGAAGACACACTCTTCACACATAAAGCATTTCTTTTTAAGCATCTTTATGTCAGTGTGTGTATGGTTCGGTTCCGTACAGCGAGGCAAACAAGGCATTTGCCTTGGGCGGCAATTTCCAGGGGGCGGCAAAAAACGCCACCCCCAAATGCCCAGGCAAATACCCTGTTTGCCTCGTTTTATGGGAGTCCAAGAGGTGGCCAGCTGGCCACCTTAGGGCTCCCCCGGGCGGGCAGGCAGGCAGGAGGCGAGGGAGCACTTTCCCCTGAGCTCTCTGCTCAGCTCCTTCACACGACCGGCAATAATGCCGGGAGCCGGAATATGACATCATATATCGGCTCCCGGCATCACTCTATGGCGCGCAAGGGAGCTGAGCAGAGAGCTCAGGGGAAAGTGCTCCCTCGCCGGTCTGGCCGCCTTCCTGCCCAGCAGCCCCACTAGACCCCAGGTGAGAAATCCACCCAGCTATCCCAAAAGTAAGGAGGCTGGGTGGATTTAAATTAAAAAATAATAATAATAATTGTAAGTGTGGGGAAATGTGTGTGTTTGTGTTTCAGTGAATGTGTGTGAGTGTGTGTGTGAATGTGAGTGAGTGTGTGTCTGTCAGTGAGCGTGTTTCAGTGAGTGTGTGTGTGTCAGTGAATTTGAGTGAGTGTGTGTATCTGTCAGTGAATGTGTATGTGTCGGTCAGTCAGTGTGTATGTGTCGGTCAGTCAGTGTGTGCGTCTGGCAGTGAGACTGTGCGTCTGTCAGTGAGTCTGTCAGTGAGCGTGTGTCCGAGTAAGTGTATGTTTGTCTATCAGTGTGTCAAATCAGTGAGTGTGTGTATGTCATTGTTTGTCAGTGTATGTGTGTCTGTCAGTCAAAGTGCAGCTTTGGCAGGAAGGGGTGGGGAAAATTTAACTTGGGGGGGGTGCCCAAGTACCGACCTGCCTAGGGCAGCACAAAACCTAAATACACCACTGGCTTTGGTGTGTGCATATGTGTGTGTGTGTATCTGTGTGTTTTCCAGTGTGTGTATCTGACTGTGCATATATGTGTCATTGTGTGTATCTGTGTATGTGTGTGCAGGGGCGGCTCTAGACTTTATGAGGCCTTAGGCGAAACTCAAACACGAGGTCCCACTAACACCCAAAGGGAAAAAAATAGGGTTGCATCTTGTGTGTGTAAGGTCGCCATATTGAAAGGTGGCTTGCAGAGCTGGATACAGAGAGTTAGTCTCTGCATTCATTGTTCAAAAGCTTACAGTGTTGCAGCTTCCTGTGCCCCTGCATTGTGAGCGCTCTGGCTGTAGTTGTAGCATAGTTTGCAAACAAAATGAATTTGTAATAAATGTAATTTGTGATTATGCTAACCGTTTATACACAATTGTGGGGTATGGTTGTATAGCCTGGCGGTCGTGTATAAATAAGTACTGGTGTACTTGGTTTGAGGAGGGAGTGTGACAGGGCAAGTGGAGGTAAGTGTGTCAGGACAAAGTGTGTCAGGGTTGGGGTGAAGGGTAAATGTGGCATGGCTGGAGGATGGAGTGTGACCGGATTAAGGGGGGGAGATTATTGGGACAGGGTGAGTGTGACAGGATTAAAGGCATTAATGTGACAGGATAAGTGTGGCAGGGTTTTGGGGGAGAGTGTGACAGAGTGAGAGAAGGTGAGTGTGACAGAATTAGGGGGGTTAATTTGACAGAGTGATTGTGGCAGAGAGAGGGCAGATGATCTTAACAGGATTAGGAGTTATTAATGGGATGGATGCATGAAGGGGCTGGCAGTATGTATGGGGTGGTGACAGTGTGAGGGGAGTATGGTGACACTAAATTGTAGGGGGTGACAGTGCATGGGGTGCATGACAGTGCATGTGTGACAGTGCATGTGTGAGGGGGTGACAGTGTGTATGAGGGATGGTGACTGTGTGAGGGGACGTCACTTCCTCCCATGCAGCCGTTAAGCAAGGGGCCAGGTCGCGCTGTTAAAGCGCCACAGCGTGGTCCGGACCCCTGCTGGAACATGCTCACTGGGTGGCCCTAAGTGTATGGCCACAATACCAGCAACACGGGCCCATTAGGTAAATCTTTTTTTTACATTTTTTTTAATGCAGGCGGCGGGGTGTATCAGTGTGTGTGTTTGTGTGTCAGGGTGTGTATGTGTTGGTTTGTGTATCTATGTGTATATGTGTCAGGGGGCTTATATGTGTGTATATGTGTGTTATTGTGTATGTATATCTGTGTAAGTATGTATACATGTGACAGTCTGTGTATATGCGCAGAGATCTCAGCAATCAAACAGAAATACAACAAATATCAAACACACAAAGAGAAAACTACACACACTGACAGGAGATAAACACCTATCAATTGTGTTTTCTAAAGAGGGTTATAGAGGTATATAGGGCTTAAATATAAATATAAAATAAACAATGAGACTGGTAACTTACCCAAAAAGGGTATGGAAACCTGACTCACACAAGATACTTCAAGGTAAATTCCAAAATACTTTATTAGAGAAAATACAAAGATTATAAAATTATACTAACAACGTGTAGTGTAGAATATAGAATGGTACTAGGACTTCTAAAACTTAGTTCCAAATGTATCTAGAGAGCTCCAAATACTATAACAAGAGAGTAAATATAAGAACAAAGTGCCAAATTATTTCCAAAGGTGTCCTAACAGTAGTTATAAATATATGTATTCAGTATAAACGGAAAGGGCACGATGGAGTAACATTCTAAGTTGTAGAAAGTTCATTCAAAAACATGCTCAGATTCAAAAGCACAAATACTGCTCACAAATACAACCCAGCATGGATGGGCAAATGGTAGATCCCCAGCTGGTATAGCATCGTGGGAGTTAAACAGATGGAGATCTACCACACTTGTGCTGGAGGGGGCCCGAAAAACATTCTTGCACCGGGGCCCTCTCTGCGTTAGTTCCGCCACTGGTCCCTATATATTAACTGGATCTATATATAATTATCACTGTTTTTCTAAGTGCCTGGAATCTCCAAACCTCTGCGGTATTAAAATATAAATATTCTCCCTTTTTATGTTATAGTGCTTGATGTGCTGAAAGTGGGATGAAACAGACTGTTTATCTGAGCGTAAGTAAAACTCACACGGCTTCATCTTGAACTAGAAAACAATATTTATACCCAATTCTTTACTATTTTGGTTTTCTGTAAAGGTCGCTCTTACAGACAAGTGACTAATCATCATTATTTTTCAGAAGGAAATTAATGGTGTGTATCTCAGTCTTGAATAGGAACTATCAAACCTTTGTTGATAACTGATCCATTTTACGTCACCCCAGAAAACACTGTTGATGTTTTTGTTTTTTGGGGGGTGAAGTACAACCACATTCAGCGCACTGCAATGCAGAAGACCACATATTCATGATGTACGCCTTCCCATAATGCCTTGTCCTGCAGGCACCTCATCCCCATGGTCTGCACGAAGACTAGAGATGTAACTGGTGATAGCATACATTGTCATGCAGAATTCATGGTCTGCATTTGCAGCATCTTTTTCAACTGTTCACGGACGTTTTGTGTATGAAGCTATTTTATTTTTTTTCTACTGAATAAAGTGGCTGCAACAATAAAACAAACAAGGAACAGACTCGTATCATGTCAGGTAACTGCGAATAGCATTCTCCCTCACAAGGACATTTTATTTATTTGTAACACCTTTCCAGTAAAAAACAAAGCAATGTGACCAAAAAAAAACCCTCTAGCTCTAAAGCTGTCCAGACAAGGCTGCTACATGATGCCTATCATTGTCTCCCCTTTTTGCAAGTAAAATTGCACATATAATTTAAGTCATACAAATGATTATAGAGTTAGGGACCCAGTTACCTGAAAGGGTCACTATAGTCACCAGAACAACTACAGCTTATTGAATTTGTTCTGGTGAGTAGAATCATTACCTTCAGGCTTTTTGCAGTAAACACAGTCTTTCCAGACACACAGTGCAGTGTTTACATTACAGCCTAGTGATAACTTCACTGGCCACTCCTCAGATAGCTGTTAGAGATACTTCCTGGGTCATGGCTGCCTAAAATGCATCCAAACATTCAGTGTCTCCTCCTTCTGCATGCAGACACTGAACTTTCCTCATAGAGATTCATTGATTCAATTCATCTCTATGAGGAGATGCAGATTGGCCAGGGCTGTGTTTGGCTCTGCCCTGATCTGCCTCCTTAACAGTCTCAGCCAATCCTAAGGGGAAGCATTGTGATTGGCTCAGACCAGCCATTCTGATGATGACAGCAGAAAGCAGGCAGGTCAGAGGTAGACATGGGCAGAGGCAGTAGCTGCAGACTTGAATACAAGTAAGATTTTACTATATTTAGGAAGACAAGAGGGGGTCGGGGTGGCTAGATGGTGGTTTTAGCACTATAGGTTCAGGAATACATGTTTGTGTTCCTAACCCTATAGTGTTCCTTTAACCCCTTAAGGACACATGACATGTGTGACATGTCATGATTCCCTTTTATTCCAGAAGTTTGGTCCTTAAGGGGTTAAAGGGTTACTCCAAGTATTATAACATAGAAGCCCACTTTAGTGGTTATTATGCAGTGTTATTATATTATTAATTGGGTAATTTAAGGAGTATCCACTTGGTGCCACAATAGTTTTACTATATAAACTATTCA